AAAAAAAAAAAAAAGGCGTCCGTCATTATCAGCGCTCTGCTTGAACTTCAAGACCGCTTCATTTGGCCCGCTGTAACGAACAATTTGAGATACGTTTCCCAACTCAAGTTCATGACAGAGGTGACTCTGTGTTTCTATAATGGAGTTTAATTTTTCGATTACAGCACTTATGGCTTTTTTCACATTTTCATCTACTTTGTCAACCTTTTCCCAATTCAAGCACGTGCACCAATGAGCTTCAATTTGCGCATGCGCACAGGTTCTACTTTTAGGAATTTCTTTGAAGAGACTGACCCCTCTCCGTCGTATATCTGCAACTCCAGTGCCAGTGTGATTTATCATATCTATGAATGTCTCGTGAATATCAAAGGGGGTGGTAAGGATTTTGGAGTTTTTCTTCACATTGGCGTAGGCTTTTGGGTACTTTTCAATGAAACTCTTTGGGAAGCGGAACGAGAAAAATGGCATGCGTTCTTCTAACTTTCCCTGAACTGAGTCTCTTATGAAAGTAAATCGCGCGCCATGATCTGCCATCAAAATCAAGATAGTATCATCTAAATACCTGCCTTTCTCTAACCATTGCAAGAATTCCAACAAGTCATCGTCTGCTACTTGTAGTTGTGACGTATGCCCGTGGCTGTACTTGGAATGGAATAAATATGAAAACTTTGGTTTATCTTTATACATTAAAAACATGTCTCTCCCCCAATTCATCATATTCTTATGAGTAGGGATAGCACCAAAGCAATTAGATTTTTCGTAATTATTTTCTCCTTCTAAAAAAAATGGTCGTAAGTTGTGATCGGTTGGTGTTTCTTTAAATCCCAGCATCCTATATTGGAATGTACCGGCGCCGGACATATCTTCTCCCCACTGAGTGACGTAACCGAGTTTCTTGAATTCATTCCAAATCCAAGGAAACCTGTTGAAAAATGAACAAAAATGTATTAACAAAGGATGTCGCTGTTAATTATTCTGCTTATCTGATGACATTCGGAGAGAGTACCCTTTTCGATAAGTAGGCAATAACTAGCATGGTAGATTCATCGTGAACGCAGTCTTAGACCCCATTCCCAGAGATTAGATCGATCCAACTAGATCGACCTAACTCCCTGGGGGTTCACGCTAAATAGCTGTCAGCCAAGCGGGCACGAAAGTTAATTACCCCCTTACAGCTTGTAGTAGGCGGGATGGACATTTAAGCCGGATTATCTGACAGTAATCTAGTAAGACTCCCCACGGGGAAAGATCGATCTAAAATCTATAGGAATGTGTCCTTAAATAGGACACGAACGAGGTGCAGTAATATGAAGGATGAGGGGCATTGGTGGAGGCTACGTAGGAAACACATGTTTTATGTAAGGAGAGAGAGAGAGAGAGACTTACCCATCAACTTGTTTAGCATTCGGCTTTCCTCGTCTAGCCTCGGGTAGTTCCGGTTCTGTAAACCCAGTCAGAATTGGCAAAAGAGCTTGCGGTGTTCCGTCCCCAACTATATTATATCCTTCCAAGACGATGCCACCTAACTCTTTGGTGAAATAATCGTAACTTTTCTTTAAATTCCTAATCCATGTCATTCTTGATACTGAGTCAAATCCGAACATAAGAACATTAAATCCCATGGATGAGTTTGATAGCATTGATGGCTTATATCTGGCATGAAGATCAGGCTGATACGAGATGCCGGAGAGAATAGTTTCAAACTTTTTCCCATTAGGGGAAAGACATTGTACAATGGCAAAGTCAGTCTTTAAAGGGTCTCCATCTTTAAAACGCACACGCGGGCCTTTTTGAACCTCAAAGTCAGTTTTCCCTCGAGTTACAGTTCTATAAAAGCATCCTATGTCTCCGTAATTCTTTGACGCTGATTTTGAAATGCGAAATGTGCCGTTTTCTGTATACACCCAATTTTCGCCAATCCCACATTTCACGGGTGACACTTTCTTAAAGTAGGCCATCATCTTGGGGTTATACGGGTCTAATACTGGATACATGCATGCCTGGGCATCGGTTTGATTAGGACCTTGGCCTGAACCCTTCAACCATTGCCATGAATAGTTTGACAGAGATAAAACATACTTTTTAGCATGCTTATGCCGTAAATGAAATATGTTCAAGTAGATACAAATTATCGCAGTTACTATAAATAACATAAGAACTTGATGCTTCAGGAATGGTCTGCATGCTCGAGAGAGTGTGTAGAGAGAGAGACACCTCATGGTTGAAATCGATGCGAATCACCTGCAATGTCCACTTAGTATAAAAATCCCAGTGATTTAACAGAAGTTGATTGATACTTTTTGATTGCATACGTTAAAAGTACACGCAATATTTCATTTAGATGAAAATTGCTCGAAGTTTGAATTCACACGTGCATTTCAAAATTAGCACTTCCTCTGCAAGACAAGCCCGACCACAAGATACAGCAAAGATTTGAAAAAGCGTCAAGATCGTTTTATAATTTGACACGGATGATCAAATCTTTTAGCACCGATTGTTTTGTACAAAATGGAAGAGCAAAACTAAACTTTTGAGTATGGCATCCAAAGTTACAAGCACCGAGTGAAAGTCTATAACTTTCAATTAATAAGAGATAGAAAAAATGTTGATGACAGTTAATTATATCCTCCAAGAATTCGAATCGATCAAAGGCAATTGTAACCACAGTAGCAATCAGCTGCTAGTACCAGTTAAAGTGAATATGCATCAAGGCTGCAAATGATAGTTTGGAAATATACGTAAAATGTTTTTTTTCTGTTGTCTCCAGTAATTGTACACTCGTCACGACGCTGCTGTCTGTTAATACTTAAGTGACAATAAAATTCCCGGGTGAAGAATGTCGTTTTGTATTCGTAAACGCTGCACTTTACGCTATTTGATCTCCTTCAGGTAGTGACTCAACCAGCACTCAGATTAAGTCACACACAAATTAAATGGTGTGTATGCTGTAGGTCTCCTGTCTCGTGCTCAACATGCTGTCACACCAACAACCTCTTTTTTTATAGACAAGAAAAGTAGCTCTGTTTAGCCGCCTGTAGTCAATCCTCTCTCTTATATCTCCCTGGTGTTCAAGGTATTCTCTTAATTGGCACACAATCGAGTATGGCGTCTGGGTTTAGCACTGGGATAAGGACAAACAATATCCCATTTCTCACAAACCGAAGACGCAGTTGGAGTAAGAAATGCTGTTATTGTCCCCCTTCATATTATGGTCTGCAAGGAGGTCGACTGCTGCACTCATCTCCTAGCCCAGGAGATCTGAAAGAAATAAAAAAACTTTAAGTTATATAACAGCCTTTGTCATGCCATAAATGACACCATTGCCTTTAACGCAATGATCGAGAGATTGCAATTACCCCTCCTCTTAGATATTTTAAATATAACATCAGTCATCAACTCTGAAAGCGGAGGGGGGGGGGGGGCGAGGATGGGGTTGGGTTTGATCACCCCTCATTCCGCCGCAGAGCATTTATTGAATGGCTTGTCGCCCTCACTTATAAGTAGCTTCCTACGAGCCAGTCGCTTCTTAACCACCTTTATCCTAAAAAATACCAAAATGTCATTTATTACAGCGAAGCCATCTTTCGTTTTCGACTGTTTAAAAAAAGCACTCTTCTTTGTCTCTGGATAACCTAGCACAGAATCATTAATCATATTGGTGAGATAATTAGGCCAGAGCTGTAAATGGGGTATAATACTGTATATTGTACGACACATGTCCTCAGGGAACAAACTCAACACTGATAAAACGGGTACCAATAGGTAGTACGCTGTTTCTTCACAACTTAATTCCTTTATTATTGATTTGATTTATGGGTAATCATAATGGCTATAAGAACAGGACCAATGTGGAACGCATTTAATCTACCTTAAGCGGCCAACGATGTCTGCCTTGGAGCCTAGGAGGGATAAGCATGGGAGGCCATAAGGGTACATCAGACAAAAATTATTTATATAATATCTCGCCCTCAGTGATATCAGACACGAATGGAGAGCAATATTGTTACAGGTGAATTAAACGATGCAGTCATTTTACATTCATTTGCAGATGTCGTGTTTTTCTGTCTTAAAGACTAAAAAAACTTATCCATAAGGCATTATCATAACGCACACGTAGTAAATTTCCATAATGGTATCTCCTTCTTACATGCCCAAGTTGTGTAAATGGAACCATAAAAGACGGCTGTGTCGTGACAGAAATAATAAACGGGACTGTGCCTAGTGTTAAGTGTAGCGCACATCAATAATATAGCCTTAAATGTCATTAAGCTAGGTGTCACCCCTATGTTCCACAGGGAACAGGAGACCAGTAGCTCCAGTACCGACCGGATGGCCTTGTGGTTAGAGTGTCCGCCTCCGGAGCGGGAGGACGTGGGTTCAAACCCCGTCCGGGGACATACCAGTCCTTTATAAACGGTACCTGCTGTCTCCCCGCTTGGCACTCAGCACTTTGGGGTTGAAGCAGGGTCCTGGTCAGGCAGAGAACGATATTGTCAGTTTGATAGCACTCAGCGCCTCATACGGCTGTATCCTCCCCAGGGAGGCGAGATCGTGTACACAGTGTGTTATGACCAGTTGTCTATCTGTTATTTGTATGTACATATTTGTAAAGTCTAATGAACATATTTATATGGAGTTTAGACTCAAAATAAATATATTATTATATATTATTATATTATTAGCTATGTTCATTCTTCTACCACTGGGCATTGGGAGCATTCAAACCCTCTCATACTAAGCACAGGTCGTTCCAGTTCTAATTTACGCGAGGAAATTTTCACGTGGGATTGATTGCTTGTGTTTTAATTGAAACCTAATGCATCAATTTTCATGCTGGTCCTGGAAGGGGGGGGGGGGGTTCAGCTTCGCCAGAAATAAAATTAGGACTTTTTTGCATTTTAAACGAGTAAGATGGGCATATTGATAGGCCTACCGGTACGCCAGTATTGTTCCACCACCCAGGTCATTAAAATAACTTATTTTTTCGCCGGTGCTTTAGTTTTTTGGAGGGTGCCCCCCTCTCTCATTCTCTCTCTCTTTCTCTCATACGTGTTGTTCTCTCTTGGACACAGCATGAAGGCGCTAGTTAAAGTGATACACTTCAGATTCACCCTGTAAAACAAGGTCACCTGTTTGTTCCTTGGGCTACGATTAATAAAACACAAACTGGAAATAATCAATGGTGCGACGTGTCTATCATATTACGCGTCACCCTCTGAGACTTTCATCCTCCGGGAGACCAAAACATCTGTGTCATAATATTATGAATAACACATTACCGATTGCGGTTCTTAAACTGCTGCTGTCGCGTCAAACTATATTGAAAGTAATCTAGGCTGTTTTCTCTGTGCTTCAAGTGAAAAAGAGACAATCACAAAGAAGCTATACATGTACAAGTGCAACAATTTATACTGTAGTGTTGCATCATTCACACTGTTGCGTGTTTCTCATTGTGAAGCTGTTGGAACTATGTATTATTGTCATTGTTATTTTCTCAATATCCTTTCACTAAACAGGTCTGGTGTTGGAGTAAGAATAAAAGAAGATATCTATTGACACGATCCGAGTCTTCTTTTTAATGCTCCAATGTTTTCATCCCTAGTAACTGCCTCGCAAAAACAGCAGCCAGTAACATAACATGCTGAGTAACATAACACCATATTACACCACATGTATTAAGTCAAGTCTAATCCTTGATCATCTAAACAGTTCATACCGGGAGAATCGATATAAACAGCTTGGAATACACCTCATCTTACAAATGCAGCTTCGTTTCTCTAAAATGTGCATTTATTGCGTACTAAACATCTTTTCGTCATCACGAACACTGCTGCCGGCGTTCATCCACGAATGCAGACAAGCTTTCATTAGATTCAACCTACTTGTGCGTATTTCCCGTCCTGTTCCCATTACTAAGAAAAGCACCAAGCCACGCTGGGTCGTAATTTTAATCTTTTTCCTAATCTTCTAACATTTTGCAAATCGCCTGCACTAGCCCCCGTGTGTTCTATAAGATCCACACCCAAATCTTGTTTTCACTACAAGTACGAACCCCTTAACACTCTTCAATACACTTTAACTAAGGTCCAAGGAAGAAGAAGATCTTTATGACTGTTATATATTATAAAAAGAAAGACTTATTTCCTTGACAAGAGTGTTTGTCGCAAATATTAATAAAGGTTCATTTCCTCAAACAGACACAATCAATTGTCATATATATTAAAATGTTTTATCTGCTCTACCATGTACATGTAATGGATACAGCCAGTGGTGTGATAGTATGAAAAGTAACGACCAGAAAACTTCTGGTATCATCGGAACCAATCAGTAATAACCAGCCTGTTGGTTATGCAGGTTCTTTTGTCGTTCACCAATAAGTCAACTGAGACAGTCAGATATCGTTTTCTTCTACATATTCTAGACCCCATTTCCAGAGATTAGATCGATCTACTTTAGATCGACCTAACTCCCTGGGGGTTCACGCTAAATACCTGTCAGCCGAGCGGGCACGAAAGTTAATTACCCCCTTACAGCTTGTAGTAGGCGGGACGGACATTTAAGCCGGATTATCTGACAGTAATCTAGTGAGACTCCCCGCGGGGATAGATCGAGCTAAAAGCTCTGGGAATACAGCCTATGTCTATCTCTCTGTGGCTATGTCGCCTCTTTTATGTTTGATCTTAATTTGCATTTTAAATGAACTTCAATAACTGACATGCAACCTGCCATGTTTATATACACCCGAATAAATTTAAACATAATTGCACATGCATTCACATCTGCCACCAATAGCAGATTGCATTTTAACTTTTTTGGGTGAAATGCAGCTTGTGACAAAAGCACAAGAATATATTTAAATGCTTAATTGTAGATACATTTTAGATTAAACTAATATGAAAATCACATTTTAATGTTTTTAAAAACAATAACTACTAATAATGGCTCACTACAAATCGGATCATTAAACATTAAATGTAATGTATGTAAAAATGCTCTCTTTTCACCTATTGAACGCTTTCCGGATCTTTCAGAAATAATTGTACGCAAAACCAAGTCACGAGCAGAAAGAAACTCAGTCATTTGTAATATTATATCTGCGTGTCAATAATAAGCAAGGAAGAATGTCTGCCCTTGTCTGTTGTCCATCCCCCTCTCT